CATTCCCAAATCCTATTACAAATAAGTCGCTTCCATCTACATTGGATGCTTTAGTTGATACGTTTCTACTGATCTTGTGAACATACCCTACGAACCTCCTATGGTTCTTCAACCACACCTATTATCAACCCAAACCAACGCTCATCGAGCTTTAATTGTATCAGAACACTCACCTCACCATAACTGCAATTGTCAACCACCCCCACCAATGACACCAAAATCCCCCACGTCAACTGTGGCCCCTTTTAATTGACATTTCTGTCAAGTCATAACCGCTGCAGCCAAAACCACCGGAATTAACAATAAAAGCTCCTTGGCCTTACTGCTTTGAGCACATTGAAAACCAACTTGTGGTTATGAGCGGCCTCAGGCCATTGGTGCATTCTACAAGCTGGTTCCGGGCATCGCATGTCCAACCATGATAAATTCGACGAGAGTCCGTCTACAATTTTTTTTTTTCCAATATTAACGAATAGTTTAAGAATGGCGTCAATGAATATCTTGAACCGTCCAACCAGTATCCGTGAATCTATAAGGCTTTCTGACGGAGCATACTACGTTCCCTGTGGTAAAGGACAGGTTGTGGTGCAAACCCTGAGCTGGGAAAATGTTGTTGAAAACGCTTTCTACTGTGGAATGAACGAGGGAGCCGCTATTGCTAATGACGGATCGTCCGTGAAGTTCAACCCTGCCTTGGTCTATGTGACTTTGCTTTTGATGTGTTCGCTTATCGTGCTCTAGGAGTCTGAAAATGAATGTCTCAGTGCCTCTTAAGAAACAATTTCTTCAATTATAGAAATGAATGTCTCCTACATTGGGTTGTAAATTAGTGTTAGACAACTCTCTAATGCTATTCTCTAATGCTGGAGTCAATGACTCCATTGCTCTTCCTCGGCTACTGTCTCCGATAAGCTCTTCCCCTCGAGGACCCTGTCCAAGCCTCATATGTAAAGAAGATCATGTAGCTGCAAAATTAGGCTCCCTGATGTGTATTGTGTATTCAGGGCATCTTGGCAGATAAGCCTCATATGTCTACTTTGCAGCCTGCTGCAACAAAGAAAGCTTAATTTCACGACTGTTGTGACGTGTAAAGCCGTTTTTGAAGAGGCTGTGTTGGAGAAGATTTGGTGTTGTTTTGGGGGAAATCCCGTCAATGCATTGCACCTTCTCGGAGCCTATTTCCCGAGATGGAAGTTCCGCCGTGATTAAGCTTTGGCGTTGATTTTCCACTTTTACGTATAACGAGTTGCGTCATGGGCCTCGCAGAGATGTGAAAGTCAAGAAAGCACAATCTGACGATCATTTGTGATTTTCAAGGGTGTTGCATCAGGGGAGCAATATCAGCAGGCCAAGACATTTGGAAGCAGCGGATGTACACTCCGTTTTAATTGAATTGCTGACAGGTCAGAATGCTATTTATGGAGAAAGATCTAGATTGTTCGAAAATAGCGGTTTGTTGTGGCACGGTTGAGCATGCTTATAATGGGAGAATACGGTATTGTGGGATCTGCCCATTGAAAGTTTCAATGTCGCTGTTCCATGCATGGAAGTCGTGAAAGGCCAATGAGAATGGTATTGTATTGTCATGTCGATTGTACCATTCAACCGTTGTACTATAGATTTAGAGCATTGTAGTCACTGTTGGTGGACTTTGAATGTGCTTTCTGTTTTTGAACTTAATAGTAGCAGACGAAGAATACTCAAATTGTGAAAAACAAAGAAAATGCCTAGATCCGGCTCCTGCAAGCTCCGACCATGTATTCCAACTTTAGCAGCCTACACAGCCATGTTAAGCGGTGCCTTAGACTACCAACATTCACTCACTTCCCTTAGTTTAAATTTTCAACTTTTTTGAAGTTTTTCAACTTATGAACAAATTTACCATCAAAGTCTTCTAAAAATACCAAAACCACAGCTCTCCACTGGTCATCGGGTGCACCCTGGAATCATACCAGATTTAGCCGCACCGCCTAGGACGCTTGACCTGCTCAGCCATAATAGCCCAAAGTCATCCAAATCTCACAACAACACCCACGGAATATTCAGATCTCTCAATTTTCCTAATTCTACTCCATTTGCAAAATCTGCTTAAATTCCAAAACCCCAAACCCACTAAACCCACCACCCTCGCTGCATCGCTTACTTCTCCGGATCTGATCGCGAAGTAAACAAAGAATATCAACACCAACTACTCACCATGAACGGGCCCGAAACCGCCGACGGGACATTGATCATCATAGTATGCCGGGCAAAACACCTTCCGAACCGCCGGAAACTCGACAAACAGAGCCCTTATGTTTTAATGAGAATAGGCACTGAAGCAAAGAAAACAACCGCAGCGTTCAGAGCAGGCCAGACTCCAGAATGGACCCAGGAGATCCGGTTCCAGTTGACCAGGGACAGAAGACCGCTTTTGAAGTTGGATGTTCTTGACGAAACGAAAAACGACCCCACGCCAATTGGCGATACAGAGATCGACTGTGCTGCTGTATTCCAGGACCAGGCTCACTTCAACGATGGAAAGTACATCTTGGACGGCTGGTACGACCTCAAATCGAGCGGCAGAGACGCGGGCAAGATCTACTTGGAAATCACGTTTTACCCTAGCGCTCCGTTGCTTCCTCCCAAGGTTCCATCGCCTACTTTGGACAAGGAACTACCGGCAATGCCAGACGAGTTCACCCGCCTGGACCCCGTGCAGCGGAGGACCGTGGGCGAGGTTTTCGAGCAAAAAGCCGCCGATTTCGGGGGCTCCAGAGCGTCCGATCCGGGCGAAGAGGTGTTTGTCAATGGCAGTCCCAAGAAAGAGGGCCGCTTCAAGAAGCTCCGGGAACGCTTCCAGTCGAAGGAGCCTCTCCGCAACCTCTTTACCCACGAGAAACAGAAACTGCCAGTTCTCGACGAGCCCTCGACCGTGCCGCCGCTTCAAAGCTACGAGCAGCTTGACAGGGTGGTTTCCAGCGACGACGAGATCGATCGGACCTACGACTCTCCGCCACCTCCACCTCCACCACATTCTGCCAAAACAAGCCCAAAGAGGGCTGGCCGCAAACCACCGCCAGGTCTGGCCTCGGCGGTGCCGGAGTTCGACAAACTCAACCTCAGCAACACCCTGGTTCCGTTTTCTGCCGAAACCATGGGACTTGATGACGACGAGATGCCCACACAGGTGTACCAGATGGGCCTGCCCGTGCGCCCGCTTACCCACAAGCAGCCTCGTGAAACCAAGGAGCACCGCATGAACCCTAATGAGATCGACCCCAAGTTCTATGCGCCTACGCCGTCGGAGCATTTGGCCAAAAGCTTCCGGTTGCAAAACGGCAACGTGACCAGCAAGGACGTAAATACCGAGTACAATACCGAGCATAGTGGGTACTTGGGTGCTGGCCAGTGGCTGTCGGATAAGCGGTTTCTGCCTTCTGTGTTCCAGCGGGTGAACGATGAAAACGAGGGTGAAATGAACAAGCCGCCTGTGCCGCCCAAGGTGCCGCAGGGACTCACCAACATGGAGTACTACGTTCTAGAAAAGGACAGTTACTTGAAGGATATCAACGGGCGGAGGCTCTGATGGCCCTATGGGAAGCGTAGTCCATAGGAGGGAATTTGCGATGGGCAACAACGGCCCCAATAGAAAGTACATAAACATTCACGATAATTGACGATTTCAGAGATGACGTGTAGACCCCGGGTTCCTGCAAGTGTGAGACTAGATAAAGTATAAGGTTTGATAAGCTATACGAGAAGCTCTTTTAGGCCACCTTTACGAAAAGTTTAAAGCTTCTATCTCTTCTCCACAGACTGAATACAAGGCTCTGTACATGAGAGAATGGTTAAGTATAAGCTTCGAGGCATTCAAGGTGATGTCATAAAAGATCGATACGAGTTGTGGTATTAGGTTTGGGTTGGGTTGGCTTTTATCCGGGAAGCTTCTATAAAAGGGCCTGGTTTGGTGGCTTTTGGTGAAAAGAGTCAGATTGTGGTTTTTTCCGTGGATAATGTGTTGGCAAGTTCGGATTTAGGGTGGTGTAGGATTTTCAAGTACCCTAGGATATCCAAGTACCCTAGGTTTCCCAAGTTCATGAGTAGTAGAAGTGAGTTTATGGCAAGGTCTACAAAGAGAGGTGAGGTCTTCGGAAAGGATATCGAGGTGGTTTCTTGGAGAAGTCGATAATCCCAGCGTCCGTCATGGGTTCCTTTTCAACTGACACTCAACTGTATAAGTGCTTTGGGTCCATTGAAAGATTTCAATCTTGTGAGGTGAGTCCAGTAGTGAAGTGGATCATACTTTTGAGCGTTCCTCTAGCTTCTCTAGATTTCGATCGAAGAAGCCTTTTGGATTAGAAAAGGCCATCAAAGTGTAATTCTTCCATTACTTATTAAACTCATCTCCAGTGAGCATAATTATTAGGATTCCATCTTGTGGGTTGTCTCGGATTAAAGAGATAGATGATGCTTCGGGCGTTCTTGAGCATCTTTGAAAATTGAATTTAGGAGGTTTTTATGTGTAATTTCTCCACTACCTATTGAAATAACCGCCAGTGCACATACTTATTAGGATTCCTTCTTGTGGGTTGTCTCGGGTCAGAGAAATACATAATACTTGTGGGCCTTCTTCGAGCAAATCTAGCATTTGGACGTAGGAGAGCATGAAAGTGTATTTCTCCATTACTTCTTGAAATTAAAGCCAGTAAACATACTCAATAGGATGTCTTGGGTATCAGCAACACTCATGGTGCTACCACCAACTCCATAAAAACCATCCCACTCAGTGAAAAACTGAAAATCTCCATTTAGCATATAAAAATCTCCATTAGCATATAAAAGTTGCCCTAAACTTGCCTTAAAACTTTTCCTAATCTCGCCTAGAGCCAGGCCCTGGCCTACATCACAGCTACATCTCTAACATAGTATTTAACAACATTAATGACGGCCGAGGCCGGGTATAAGAAGCGACGCTGATGCGCCCTAAGCAGCGAACAAGAAAGTCAAAAATCACCCACTTACAACAAGTGCACGGCAACAGCACCAAGCATACCGAGACCAACTCCCAAAGCAGCAGCCTGGCCGTTGCTTGTAGAAGAAGCACCGGTGGAAGTAGCAGAACCCGAAGTGGCAGAACCAGAAGAACCAGAACCAGTACCACTGGAGCTTCCGCTGGTCTTGGACGACGTCTTGTGCACGCTGGAGGTGGAGTTGGTGGTGTTGGAGTACAAAGGAGTGGTTGTGTTGGCGTAAGGAGCGGAGGTGGCGGCAGCTGGAGCGGAGGTGGTGTTGGAGACGTTGGAGGAAGCCACAGCAACCACACCTTGGTAAGCAGTCAAGGCAGCGGCTTTGGAAGCAGAAGCCTCAGAGGCAGCAGAAGCAGCCGACTCGACAGAAGCCACAGAGGCCACGGAAGCCTCAGAAACAGCAGCAGCCTTGGAAGCAACAGAAGCTTCAGAAGCAACCGAGGCCTCAGAAGCAGCGGAAGCTTCAGAAGCAGCAGAAGCCTTGGAAGCCTTGGAGGCCTCAGAAGCCTCAGAAGCCTCGGAAGATACAGAGAGCTCCAGGGCGACAGAGGCCTCGGAGGCGACGGAGGCCTTGGAGGCGGAAATGAGCGAGGAGGATTCCCAGGGGTCCAAGACGGTGGTGGTGATGGTGATGGTGGAGGTGGAAATGGTTGGACCTGCTGCAGCAGCAGAGGCGGCGATGGCCAAAAGAACGACTGGGTTAAAAGCGACCATTGGGTAAAGAGTGACTAGGGTTAGGATGAGGAAGAAGGAGGATTAAAAAAAAAAAGTTCTACATGAAACGGTGGTGGAGCATTGGCGATGCACATCACAGGATTGAGATTGTTTTCCGGCTTGAGAGACTTTTTGAGAGACTCTAGCGGTGCGAAAATTTCTTGCATGCAGCGTGGTGCCATGCGGCGGGCTACCTGATTTGGCAGGAGGGCGATGGAAAAGGTATGCGGCCTACCCCAAATGGGGTGGCTTTCGCGGACCATTTCGCAGCACAATGGGTGGTGGACTGCACACAGCATGCGCCTCGACGCTCGCCGACGCGGCGTTGCCGTACAACCGCCGCGCCCTCTCTCTTTTCTATGCCACTACAACCCATCGTCTTCCTGCAGCCTCCAAGTCTAGACCAGATTGGTAACCCTGGCCGCTTAAATGGTGCTTTTCTATAGGGTGCTTTTCTGTCGAGCGGCACCGCCGCACGTGATAGTCCACCATGCACGGTTCTCGTATGTGACTGCGATCATTTGCAGCCACCGTTAACGAGAAAAGCCCACCCACTAAAAAACGAGAGAAGTCGATTCTACTTTTCTGATGATTAATCCATCACTTCGTCTTCTTCTTCTTCTTCTATATAGTGCAGTCTGACAGGGCCAGGGGCCACTTGTCCCACCCGTGTATGTTTACGCATCCCCATTTGGGAATTTGTCAACACCACTGGCCGTGACCTGGAGAGTTGCATGTAAATGGCTTACTGATTTTGAGACAACGCAATGTCTTCAAAAGGGGAAGGTTTTGGCATCCGCAGCGAAATTCTTGCTTCTTCTTGCTTGTTCATGCTTGTTGACGGCAAATCCACCGGTGGCAGAATGTGGAAAGCTGGAGGTGTGGAATTCCGCAACCGCAGCTTAAATTTTTTCTTGAAGTCAGAATGTAGGCTTGCGGCGGTCACTGTGGTCGTGTTTTCAAGGCTTTGGCCAAAGTCACGCTGGGCTTGGAAGCAGAGCCTGTCATTCGAGCTCGTGACGAGAAACCCTGCTATTGTGTTTAGCTACCGAGCCAAGATGAGGTTAAATCCGGTGAGAGCATAGGAGCGACAGGAATAATGTAGACGCACGGCTCAATGGGACCGTGGGTAGGTTTTTCGGATTTGTCAGGTTGAATTTGGGGTGGCAGGTGATGAGCTGGGTGTAGTTGGGTGGTGGATGGTAGTCTGGTGACATGGTTGTCTGGTGATGTCTGGTGAAGCCTCACGGTTTGTGCTTTTTGGTGATTTTTGAGCTGACTGGTTTTGGCTGGGTTTTGCTGAATTTTGGCTGGGTTTTGGCTGGCTGATTTTTGTTATTTTTGTGGAAAAGGCAATGCAGCTATGGAGGCAGTTGTGGATTCAGTGGGGTGGATCTCAACCGGTTGCCTGATCCAGTTGACGGATCTCTAGGACTTCCAATAAGGTCATACCATAAATGGATGTTGGAATTCCAGGATCGTGCCGTTTAAGTGCATCGTTTAATGGGCACTCTTGTGTCTGTCGAGTCAGACGTTTAGTGTCTCGATGGTGCCAAACAGAGGGTATCAAGATTGGTGTATCCAGCTTTTGGGCTCAACGCTTGCTGTTTTGTTGTTTACCCTGGTCCATGCGGCGTTTTGATCTGACGCTTTTGTGGACCTTTTAGACTTTGTGTGTTGGGTTTTGTGTCTTCCTCTGTGTTGTGGTGCACCGTACACTGTCTTCTGTTCTGTAACACCGTGCAATGTCTTCTGTTCTGTAACACCGTGCAATGTCTTCTGTTGCACTCTTTGTGGTTTCAGTCCGCCCTGGGTGTTGTTGAATTTTTTGGAGAGAAGCAAGGGCGAGCTTATGTAGAGGGTTCTTTGTGACTATCATTGAGTCTGTCTGTATGATGCCCACTGTGTGGTGTAAACCGATGTAGTTTTCTGGTAATGTCTATATTTTGATTTCTAATTGCTGATTCTTAACAGCTGAGAAACACTGGAGAGAAAAAGATCGCTTTTTAGCTGTTCCGGATGTTTTAAACTGACCATCATCACTGTCTTTATAGTAGTAATGGCTGCGAAAAGGCCGTGCTAGGATGATTGTTTCACGACAGAGCTGGAAATTAAAGAGCAGACTTATTTTCACCAACAAACGTCTCCTTATGCGTTCTGATGCTCTAGTTCCAGTCTAGGTTTCGGTAGCACAAGTGTAACTATATGACATATTTGTGGTTGACCAGTACGAATCATGAAGGTAATAGAGCACAAACTCAACTCTAAACCAAAAAGAAAAAAACTCTCCAAGCACACTGAACTGTATTCTTAATCACAGAATGTTGAGAAAATAGTCGTTTGCACCCCAAAAGTATCAAACCTCTGTGAACCTCTTGCACTCTGCTCATCCCGTACACAACAGTACCACTCAAAGTCACCTCCACCTCCAACTTCCGAAACCCAATCTACCATCTAAATCTCCCCAAACTGCCCAAAAACAAATTTTTCACCAACCCCCAAACCCCTCCCCTTTATATCCAAAACCCATCCCGATAGTACCTGGTCTTGATACTGTGCGCACACGACCCGGTGATTTTTTTTTTCACCACACAAACCTCCAGGCTCATCAAACCAACCCAAGATGCTCAGATCAGCAACACGCAGGTACTCGTTAAAGAGCCTCCCTTTCGAATCACAGCCCAGAAATAAGTTCAATGCGCAAAGATCAGCATTCAACTTGAAACCGGTCAAAAAAGACGGCCTCATATATAACCCTCCAGCATCTGCCCCATCATACAAAGAAACACCCCAGTTGTTTTTGCCCAAAAACGATCCACGTCTTAAGTACCTTGAGGGAAAATGGAAAGTCTACTCTGAGGAGGAGCTTGCGGATATGCCGCTCATATACGGTGTTCAGAAACTGAAGGACTACCTGTTGACCCCAGAAGTGGTCGGAGAAATACTCAAATTGAGACAGCAGGACGCCAACCAATGGACGATTTCCAAACTAGCACAGAAATTCAATCTCGACAAGACCAAGGTCAATGTGATCACCGGTATCAGCAAAGATAGACAGAAGAAGGTGCTTAGTGAGTTGGAATCCGTCAAGGAAGCCTGGTCCTCTAAAAGAAAGCTTGCTAGACAAGACAGAGAAAAGAGAGTCCAGCAGTGGTTGCGTGGCGAGTTCTGAGCTACGTATCGCCCTCTTGTATATATATCCGTTGCATTCCTGCTCTAAGAGCATCCCAATATACATAGTCATGTCCATTAGTCCTCCTGGGCCTCGAGCTCCTGGAAAGCGAGCGTGTCGAGCTCGTCGAGACCCTCTTGTATTGCGTACTTGAAATCGAGCACCTGGTCTATTATGGTCAGCACCGTCCGGTGGAGGCTTTCCCTCTCTTCCTTGATGCGGTACTCGGTTTCCTGTTTCTTCACGCGGAGACTCTTGATAGTACTCTCGGCTTCGATGATGCCTGTGTTGACTCGGAGACGAAGCGTCTGCAAGTCGCGGTCGAGCTTCTCGATCTTGGCCGAGTACGTTTTGCTATCTGTCATCATGAAATCGTATGCCTCAGAATAGAGCTGCATGGTTTTGCGGCACTTGGCCTTGATGCCATCGAGGAACTCGTTCTGCTCGAAGATCTTGACGTGGAGCTGATCCACTTCTTCCTGGAGCTTGAGTTTCTCCTCTTGCTTCTTTCGAAGCTCTTGCGTGAGCGCTGAACGGCACTGTAGAAGCTTGACTTTCTCGTCCCGAAGGGTTTTCGTCAAGACATCGTCAGCGCTTATCTCTTGGTCCGTTTGAGCCAAGTCTTGCTTGACCGCTAGCTCAAACAGATACTCTTGTACGGGTATTCTGCTAGTCAAATAGTTGTACTGGCTGACAAGATTAATGAGACTGTCACAGCTCAGTCGAAGCTGATATTCCTGGTCGGCAATGTTCTGCTGGGTATCCTTCAATTTGTTTGTAGTGCGTTCAATTGCTTTGGAAAGTCTGTCTCTCTCGATGTTCAGCTGGTCGATTTCCGTAGCGGAGAGTCCCTTGGCCGTGAGCTGGTCCTCGTATTTCTTCTTCTCCTCTTGCATTTCCAGAATCTGGCCCTGGAGCTTGGTCAACTCGTCCTCCATCTGCTTGAGAAGATCTCCCCACTTCTCCTTGCGGTCGCTCATTTTGTTCATGTAATCCGAAAATTGTTTGAGGTCATTCTCCAATGCTCTAGACTTTGCGTGGGCCTCATTGAGCTCCGAAACCTTCCCATTGAGCTCCTCACGTTGCTGTAGAAGTTCTTTCAACCGTTGAGACCGCGTCTCCTGCTCCCTCACCGTCTTTGCATTAATTTCGTCGAATTCCGTCTCTAGTTCCTTGTAAAACCCAGAGTAGTCTTCCTGCTGGTCAATGTAAGCACCGTAGCACTGATGCGTATACCTGATGAATAGCCTATCAAAGGGATCATCGCTGGCGATCATGTCATCCTCTGTGAGACCCAGAAGAGCCAAATTGAGCTTCATGAGCCAGTAGAGCATTGCAAGGAATTTTGGCCACGACTGGCCCACGGAGCTGATATGCGTTCGACTCAAGTGCTCGGTATAAGGGTACTCCCATGCGCGAAGGACCAGGATCACGTCTGTTTCTAGCGATTTCGTGAAGGTGAAATGAGGGTCGATCTTGCGGTATAGAAACTGAAACATCAACACAAACTCTTTCTGGGTAGGCAGCTGAAGCGTTCGTCTTGAGACCGCGTGATTCATCTCGAGTTCAAACCGGTTAGCCACCAAGAAATCGTAGATCTCTCCCATGAGCATTTCTAGGTACGCCTTGTCATTTAGTGGCCGAAGGTCAATTACTTTTGCTGGTGGGTTCCTGTGCTGCTGGTGAGATAAATGCGTAGCCAGCTGTGACGATGCAGGGGCAATGACGCTGCTGAAGAGACTCTGGCGTCTATTTGTAGCAGGTGTAGTTAGAAGTGTTGATCTCCTTCTACTAGACGCCTCGAAGCTTCCAGAAACACGGTGCGTTG